ATTTATTTGACAGAGAGAGACAGCAAGAGAGGGAACACAAGCAGGGGGAGTGGGAGAGGGAGAAGCAGGCTTCCCGCTGAGCAGGGAGCCTGATGAGGGGCTGGATCCCAGGACCCTGAGACCATGACGGGAGCCAAAGGCAGACGCTTAATGACTGAGCCACCCAGGCGCCCCAAGCCTAGAATATTCTATCATACTAGAAAGTAATGTTATTTCACAAAGACATTAAAGCCAACTTGAAGGGGATCTCACTGCCAAAATTTTTGAGCAACAAAAAAAATTATTGAAATAAGTTGAAATACTAGCTATGTTAAAATTCATGTGTACATGAAGATGATAAAAAAAAAACTTAGTCATCTTTGTAGACAGGCAAGTAAATGAAAGATACAATCACTTATGGACTATTTTTCAGGGTAGCCAAATAGTTGATAAGGGAAAGTTCTCCTTTATAGAAGAATTCTAGTTAATAAATGCAGAGAGAGTGATAAAATTAGAAATAATGAATAGAGGCAGTGATCAGTCAAAACTTAGGTGAATGGAGAACTTCACAAAGGAAGAATTAGGCTGACAATAGCTGAACATACCATCATAAAAAGAGAGACAACCAGACAGTATCTGCCTCTTGCCACAACAGGATGTATTCCCACCACCTATGAAGTGTTCTTGTTAGGAAGGTGAACACGAATCTGGTGAAGCCTCTATATCACAGCTGTCCCACAGAACCTTCTGCGGTGATGGAAATGTTTTTGTGTGCTATCCCTTACATAGCTATTGAGCACTTGGCCAGTGAGACTGAGGAACTGACTTTTACATTTTAGTTAATTTTAACTAATTTAAATTTAACTAGCCATATGTAGTTAGTGGCACCCACTAACCATTTGACAGAGCAGCTACAGGTCTGACTGCTAACTTAAAGAAACTACAGGGGATAAAGGGACACGTTAAGTGACAACACGTCTTCCTGCATAACGTGTCAACCTTGTTTGCATCCTTATTCAAACAAACCAACTGTGAGACAATCAGGGAAATCTGAACTGGATAATTCATAATATTAGTACTTATGTAAAATTTTGATTTCGATCATAATGGTATTACATTTAGGTTTGAGGAATTGTTCTTATCTCTTAAAGAGTACATACTTAAGTATTTATAGATGAAAATATACATGTCTGGGATTTTCTTTAAACAATCTAGCAGAGGAGAGACTAATAGTGGAAGGGTATATATGAAATAAGAGTAGTTATATATTGATAACTCTTGAAGCTGAGTGATGGGTATATGGGTATTCAACAGAATATTCTAAATTTCTGTGATGTTTGAAATTTTCCATCACAAAATGCGTTAACAAATGAAGGAATAAATAAAACCTGGAATTAAAACAATAGCATATATGTACATCCTATGTATTATTATTTTTTTTAAAGATTTTTATTTATTGGGGCACCTGAGTGGCTCAGTCGTTAAGCGTCTGCCTTCGGCTCAGGTCATGATCCCAGAGTCCTGGGATCGAGCCCCACATCAGGCTCCCTGCTCC